TACCGGACCATAGTTACCGGACCATATTTACCGGACCATATACCGGACCATAGTTACCGGACCATAGTTACCGGACCATAGTTACCGGACCATATTTACCGGACCATAGTTACCGGACCATAGTTACCGGACCATATTTACCGGACCATAGTTACCGGACCATAGTTACCGGACCATACCGGACCATAGTTACCGGACCATAGTTACCGGACCATAGTTACCGGACCATAGTTGCGCGGACAGTATACCGTACGTGAGTGGAGTTGAATATAAGTTACCTCGCCCTGGACAGACACGAGTCTTGTCTCCATGTTCGCACCGGATCCCCACGAGGGCGCCCCCTGCCAGACCAGCTGGTGCGGTGGCGCTGGCGTCGCATCGGGGCAGTTTGCCCAGATGACGCACGTGTTGCCTTGGTCGAGTTTGAAGAGGTCGGGGAAGGTGAAGGAGAGCTGCTGTGTAGGGGTGAGCCAGCGTTCCAGCCGCCAGCCACCCATAAACTGATGCTGCGACGAGAGGAAAGAAACAGATGAAAGGATACTGGAAATTGTAGACAGTGGTTACACTTCGACACACTTCGACGCACTTCGTCAACATTCGTCATATTTCGTCCATATTATGTGTCATATTTCGTCAACATTCGGCATATTTCGTCACACTTCGTCAATACTCGTCACACTTCGGCAAGCCTCGTCACACTTCGGCAAGCCTCGTCAGGCCCTGTACATAAACGTCCCGGGACGCGATGAGTTCTCTATTTAGTTTAGCCTGTCATACCGATCCAGCTAATTTGTTACTACGGGAACCACAAAAACCGCTAGCCATTCAACGAGCGAGTTTCTAAGACACACCCGAAACTCGTAGCACACCCGAAATGATCACGTGACCGGACAGCCGCAAATACTCGGCTGCTGCTTGCATGAATAGTTCAGGAGTCTATCAATATTGACTCACTCCTGAATACTTCACATTGATTCAGGCTGAGATGTTTGCTGCTGTGTGCGAAGCTAAAGTTGAATGCTCGAGACGTTCTGGGTTACTCTCTCCCTACGCTTTCAGTTTCACTTCCCCTTCCTCTTTCGCCCCCTCCCAGTCTCGTTGTCTCGCTCTTTCTATCTATCTCCCTCTTTTATCTTACCATTCTCTCTCTCTCTCTCTCTCTCTCTCTCTCTCTCCCCCCTCTATTTCTCTCTCTTACTGTATCACTCTCTCTCGTTCTTACACATTATTTTCCCACCCTTTTTCTCTCGCCTTTTTTCTAAATTGATCGATCTCTCTCTCTCTCCATCCCCTTTCTCTCACTCGCCCCAGGCGCCGTTATATTACCGTGTGTCTTTTCCAGCTCGCGTTCTCTAACAGAATGTATCGCCCCTCAGGGTCCACCTCGGCAATTGAGACTGTCCCCTGATTGTTTCTGAGTATGTGTGAGCCAGTTGCATGCTGCCTACCGTCCCACCTGACAACGAGCGCCGTCTCCCATCTACGCGTCGGTCGTGGAACGCTGCCTGCAATTTCGAAAATCGCAAACGGATCGCATATTGAGAGGGTTATTGTATAGTGAATTAGTATTTAGTAGTCGTAGCGAGCATTCACACCAAATGATTCATAAGCGGGTGTTGACACTCGCATGAGTCTATCAGCTGAGTAGAACCGGTAGCTCAAAACCTCATGAATGGCGTTCACCGCGAATGGCACCCAACCCTTCGACTCGTTGATATGCAACTCGATACAAACTCGAGTCCATTTTTCGTGAGGCGAGTAACTTTAAAGGCGAGTAGCGACCGAGGTACCCTATATATATGGTTCGCAGGGCATGATGATTGCTGCGAAGTACGTGAACTACGACGCTCACAAGAAGATCCACGAGGAGTTCATTGCCAAGCTGGGCGCTGTCACTTGCCCAGTGAAGGACGATGGAATCAACTGGGCCAAGGAGTGGCTCGTAAGCCACATCATGACCATCGACTTCCAGTACAAGGGAAAGTTGTAGATTTTGTCTCACAGAAACATTTATTTACTCATGCAAACTTTATTGTTTTACGCCTGGTATTTTCGAGCAACCCTCTCGTGATATTCTCTCACCATGAACTATTGAGAACATCCAGTGAACACTAAAATTCTAAATTATTTTATATTACTCTTAAAATCAGAGCAGTAGGTAATCTCATATAATTATTATCTATATTGAACCACGGAAACAAATCTATTCGTCTTCTTATGTGTAATCTATGTAGTAGACAAATTAATAAACTAGTTTTCATCTATACCTCACGTATACGTATGTCTTTGCTTCTTTAATTTGTCGATGTTGACAAACTTTCCTGTATTTTCACGCTGTCAGACAAGAACTTCTGCATTATGCAGTAAACGTGTTACCATCGTACAAAGCGCGCGAATGCACTACATACACAAACAGATGCGATCAAATGTAACGGATACCGTTACAACTAAGATTGTTATAGCCATCGTTAAACGCTACATGTCGACTATATAAACATTTTCCCAAGGCACGTCTGGGAAGTGGAGACGTCTGGATCGTCTGTGTACGTGACGTAGATCCACTACTGCTAAACAACTGCCGCTAATGATGTAGGGGTTCAACAAGCAGGCTCATCACTCAATACCATTACGATAAGAATTAAAAGTGAACTTTTTTTTTAATCTGAGCGCGCAGCATCTGCTAATAGCGTTAGTCCTAAGAGGCTAGTTTGTGTAGGGTGAAATCCAGAGGAGAACGCGAATTTTATACTGATGGTCAATAATTGCAACTATAGTTATCCTGTAGTATATATGGTATAGAATACATGTATATATATGCGTGTATATATATATATATATATATATATATCCTAAACCATGTATATAGACATCAATACACCGGGAATCAACACCGGGATATAGTTTGCCAAAGACATATCAGACGGTGGGTGGGTGCCGAGCGAACTTGTAGCAAGTTCAGCGACGCAATTAACCTCCTCCTGTAGTAACATTTAGGAATTTATTATTATATATTACTTATAGCGACTAAAAACGAAGTATACACAGTGACACGCCTCTAAATATAACATGACCTTGACATCTAAATTGCAGATAAACATTAGGATAACATAATACAGAAGCATACCCACGTTTTTAGACTCGTGTTGAAATGAGCTGTCTGCAAGTAGCTAATGTCGTTCTCCTTCAGAGTTGTAGCTCTATATTTAGGTTTGTTGGCATTCAAGTTTAATCGTTCATATTAATATTACCAGGAGTAGATAATAGGGAAGGAGTGTGACATCAATAAACAAGGGAAATTTGTCATTTACTAGCCTTAAAATACCTACGATTTACTACGCGTAACTCATCCAACTTGAGCTCAAATCTTACACAGTACATTCGCCTAGCATCGTGCGAAATCGTTTCCTCGTATACACCAGAAATCCGGAGATACAGACTAAAACGTACAACACGATTATCTATTCTTTGGCCATCAATCCGAAAGTATTCCCCGCCGTAGGTATTATAAGGCTAGTAAATGACGAATTTTCCTTGTTTATTGATGTCACACTCCTTCCCTATTATCTACTCCTGATATTACTAACAGCGAGCAGTTGTTATTGTAACGGACACAAAAAATGAGAGAATCTAAGTTACGATTATACGAAGAATAGAGTGCGTGCGTGTGTGTGCGTGCGTGCATGCGTGCGTGCGTGTGTGCATGCGTGCGTGCGTGCGTGTGTGTGTTAACACATTATCAAACTCAAAAAAGTGTATTTAAGGAATCAAGTGATCAAGAAATGAATAAATCACAGATCACAACATCTCCTTCTTCTATTGCTCGGTGTCGCCATCTGTTGGCCACATGTGGCCGTAGCCTGAGGAAATCACTAAGGGGCATGGTCATGGAGCCAGCGGATGGGCGCCGCTCCCAGTCAACGTACATAGTATGCCGATGGTTTTCAGCATGAGTAGATAATTATTTACACTTGTTTTTAGGTTAACACAAAATATACATGTACGATTATCGGTAGATACATGGTATGCGCAAACTCTCGAGTCTGGCCATGCTGTTGGAAAACCTTAATTATCATTATTAAAATAAAGAGGCGGTATTCTAGCGATATAATAGATGTATATGATAAAATTCTATCAGTAGACCTCTAAGAAAATAGAATCCTAGAAATAGGAATATAAATTTGCATATAAAGTGGCGGCTGTATATACCAGGCAGTACACAATCTGGCTACGTTAGTGTGTTAGCGCATACGCAATATCTCGCCACAGGAGTTATATTTTGCCATAAATATGAATTTAATATGGTTAGCGGGTATCGCAGCATAGATTTCTGAAATAAATTCTGATCAGTAGACCTGAGTTTATAATTAGCAGAGCGCCCTAGCCTGTAGGGTGCAAAACTCCTACTTCACCCCTCCAGTCCAGCCCCAACCTCTCTTGTGCCTAGCTAAACCTTTTTCTTTTGATACCGTCCATCAGCTATTTTCCCTGTCGCCTGTCCTTAGTCTCCCACCCCTCTCTCACTCAGCAAGCTATATTATGCAGTTTGCTTCAGTACGTTCTGTGCGCCTGAAACAGTCCTCGCGCATGCGCAATATCTCATGAGAAGAATAATATTTTGCAAAAAATATACATTTAAAATGAGGAGCAGGTATCTTAGCATAGCTTTATATGATAACATACCATTCGTAGACCTTACTTAATAAATAGGACGAATACCTTGCACGTAAGGTGTCCGCTGCATATGCCAATGAGTACACAATCTGGCTATGTTCGTGTGTTAGCGCATGCGCAATATCTCACTACAGGACTTGTATTTTCTGATGAATATGTATTTAATATGGTCAGGGGGTAGCTCAGCATAGATTTCTGAAATAAATTTTAATATGTATTCCTGTGTTTATAATTAGGAGAGCGCCCTAGCCTGCAGGGTGCAAAACTCTTACTTCATCCCCTCCCGATTTCCCACTACCTTTCTTACCCCTCGCTTAAACTCCTTAATCTTCTACCGCCCTCAGCTATTTTCCCTGCCGCCTGTCCTCAGTCTCCCACCCTTTTTTCACTCAGCAAGCTATATTATGCAGTTTGCTTCAGTACGTTCTGTGCGCCTGAAACGGTGCTCGCACATGCGCAATATCTCATGAGAAGAAGAATATTTTACAAAAATTATACATTTAAAATGAGGAGCAGGTATCCCAGCAAAGATTCATATGAGAACATACCATCCGTAGACCTCACTTAAGAAATAGGACGAATACCTTGCATGTAAGGCGTCCGCTGCATATGCCAATCCGTACACAATCTGGCTACGTTAGTGTGTTAGCGCATGCGCAATATCTCACCACAGAAGTTATATTTTCTGATGAATATGTATTTAATATGGTCAGGGGGTATCTCCGCATAGATTTCTGAAATGTATTTTTATATGTAGAACTGTGTTTATAATTAGAAGAGCGCCCTAGCCTGCAGGGTGCAAAACTCTTAATTCATCCCCTCCCGTTTTCCTACTGCCTTTTTTAATTTGCCCCTCGCTTAGACTCGTTAATCTTCTACCCCCCTCAGCTATTTTCCCTGCCGCCTGTCCTCAGTCTCCCACCCCTCTCTCACTCAGCACGCTATATTATGCAGTTTGCTTCAGTACGTTCTGTGTGCCTGAAACGGTGCTCGCGCATGCGCAATATCTCATGAGAAGAATAATATTTTGAAAAGGTTATGCATTTAAAATGAGGAGCAGGTATCCTAGCATAGATTTATATAATAACATACCATCCGTAGACCCCACTTAAGAAATATGACGAATACCTTGCATGTAAGGTGTCCGCTGCATATGCCAATCAGTACACAATCTGGCTACGTTAGTGTGTTAGCGCATGCGCAATATCTCAGCACAGAAGTTATATGTTCTGATTAATATGCATTTAATATGGTCAAGGGGTATCTCCGCATAGATTCCTGAAATTAATTTTAATATGTAGACCTGTGTTTATAATTAGCAAAGCGACCTAGCCTATCGGGTGTAAAACCCCTTCTTCACCCCCTCCCGTCCTTCCCCTACTTTTCTTGTTCCTAGCTCAGCCTCTTTCTTTTGACACCGCCCCTCAACTATCTTCACTGTCGCCTTTCCTCAGTCTCGCACTCCTCTCTCTCATTCAAAATAATGTTTTATTCACTTGATAGAAACCAGCAATGCAGCTGTTTATCCTATGGCCACATGTTGGCGGATTTAGATATTATTAGTTTTGCGTCAGCTAGGACAATCTATCATCATTGAAAGGAAGCATCGCGCTTTACTTTTCATGTATAGCAACCGCCACGAGTATTTGCTGTTTATTTGAAAAGCATTTCAGTGAAATTTTACTTGGTAGTTATTATGCATGCGCGAACACATATCTCCCGCTGTGCTACAGAAAAGTCTGGGACGAATAGACATGTTATGATTATTAAATTGATTAGTCCGTATATGATCTCTTTAGATTAACCGTACTATTTTAACAAAGTACCATTTCCAGTATTTTATAAATGACTTGGTATACAGCTACGTGTGCTATGTAGGAAACTTCGCACCCTGCTCGGCGATTTAAATTTTATTATCGTTATGCTTGCTGGAAAACTTTGACACTATAATTGTTAAAAAGAGACACCGGCATTTATTTTCATGTCACGACTACTGTGACGAGTATATGTTCTTTATTTTAAACGTATAATTTCAGGAAAACATCGATTTAATCGTTAGATCATATGCTTCCTCAAACAATGATATTGGTGGGTGTGTTGATGTGGAACACTGGTTTCACATGCGACTGTATGATATTTTACACCTATGTTATGGCTATTTACATTTCCTACGCTTTTATTTTTTCTTCAACATCTATGGTGGTGTTGGTATCCCCTCTTGCATCACACCCTCATAGAGCTTTCTATGAGTGATGACTTAAGTAATTTCAGTTACCATTCTGGGGGCTCCATGCGCACCATGTGTTCCCTATACCACGCTAGCTCCCTCTTCAGGCCCTCGTTGACACTAATCGAGTTGGCCAGCTCAGGTCCGTACTCTGATATCGCACGTCGAACTTCAGACAGCTATAATAGAATTTCGCAAGTTGATAGAGCGGATATATTACACGGTAGGCGAGGACAGCAGGGGATGTCCGCCTCCACTCAAAGTAAGGTGTTAGTAGAAGATACTACTGGAGTCTCTTGTTTGACCGCCACACACAGGCCTGATCATATAGTCAAGCCATAATAATATAGTTTAATCTCATATAATACATGATATATATAGATATATATATATATATATATATATATATATATATACTGTCGCTAGAATCGATGCATGCATGAGATTTATTCAGAAGCAAGCATGTCTTAAAATTAAAAAAGAAACAGGCAGCCCGCTGTCAGTAGCAATGATAATAATGACAATCAATCCAACGCGTCATAAAATGCGCACGTGTTTTAAAACATGAGTCATTTCCTCTCGTCATGAGTTAAACATTTTAGATGTTCTAACTACATTCAGGACGTGTCTGACAACGACATACGACGCTATAGGCACGAAATGACTCACCGACTACACTCTTACAAACTTGCTGTTTGAAATCGTCGCCCTTGCCTGGCATGTACATGTAACCTACTGTGTCTTCCACCACCGTGATGAATTGTTGTGTCTTCCTCAGCCTGGAAACAGTGAGAAATCATCGCATCAACGATTTACATAAACACATGACATAATATGTTATCTATGTTAATGTCTATATATACATTTAGATATCGATATCTATATCTATATCTA